AAAAAAAAAAAAAACTGACAGGTGCTATATGCTCATGAAACAGATTTTGCTTTAGTTTACCCCTCTTGTCCAAACTTAACTTTATACGAGAACACTATTCGAACTCCTTTTTTAATAGGCACTACATCTCGAATCTACCCCGATTTCCCTTCTTAGATATCAAGGTGAAGCTTACATTAGAATACTGATATAACTCCAAACTACAAAAACACCTGTGTACACTTTTTATGGACTTTGTGGTGTCAAAAGTATTTAAAACATCCGTCTTTGCAATTTCGGAAGGCAACCATTTTCTGTGCACCATGCAATTAACTTTTCTTACTGTCATTCAAAACTGTCGCCTAGCTTTTCTTTTTTCAAACGCTCCAACACACAAACAATGAAGTCGTATTTTGGTGTCGAAAATTACACCATGAGACACTCCTCCTTCAAGCAAAAGTCTTCCTTCTTACAAAAACAGTCCAGTCATGCTTAACCACAGTTAAATACAGGGTGTATTTTTGACGCCGAAAACCATAACAGTAACGTAATTACTGTAAGCTCTCTTTAGAATCACAAAGTGGTTTATGGGGGCCAAATACAGCATGAATACAGGTTTTTGGTCGTTTTTTTTTTCATGTTTTTGACTCAATGCCCAAGTCAACTTTATCTGATTTAATTTGGGGATCGAGTAAACAAGCAGTGAAGCTGTAAAATGTACATACATAAAAGCAAATAATGATGCACAAAATGAGTTATTATGTTAAATTTTGATACAATTTTACATGATGCTTAACACCAAAATCAAGACTAAATTTCAACGAAATTAAGTTCAAGGTTACTATGGAAATGTCTGTTTTAGTTGTAGAAAAACAGAGGTTAGTAAATATGGAAAGTGCATATTATTTGGAATAGTAGGTCAACTGTCAATGTCAACGTCATTAAAATTCCCAAAATTAGGCTTGTTGCCTAACTTCAATAGTTACAAAGGGTGTATCTCTGTCAGATTTGGAGAGTGATTTTGCAAAGTACAGTTCGTGGTGAAAAGTAGGTCAAAGGTCAAATGCAAAGTCCCAGTAAGATTGCCAATATATTACTTCCTATTCAAGTTCAAAAATAACTATGACCATATCTCTGCTAGTTCTGAATTATTTCTCATTCTGTTTTCACCTCTGAGCAATGTTTGGAATAGCACAACCCCTCAACCTGATGAAAAACGAAAGAGCAGACACCCCTTTTAGAGACCATTCCCACAGATATTTGGATCGATCTATCTCCCTGGGGTGTCTCACTAAATCACTAAATTGCGATCAACGTAACCGGCTTAAATGTCTGTCACGCCTAGTAAAGCTGTTCGAGGGTACAGGTAATTATCTTTACCCTAGCTGATTCGGTAGACGTGACAGACATTTAAGCCTCTTGAGCTGATAGCAATTTAGAGTGAACCCCCAGGGAGTTAGGTCGATCCAGACGGATCGATTTAAGTATGGAAACCCAGTCTTAGACTGCATTCCCAGAGATTAAGATCGATCCATCTGGATCCACCTAACTCCCTTGGGGTTCATCCAAAATTGCTGTCAGCCGAGCGCGCACCACAGTTAATTACCCCCTTACAGCTTTTAGTAGTAGACATTTAAGCCTGTTAAGCTGACACCAACCTAGTGAGACTCCCCAAGGGGATAGATCGATCTAAATATCTATGGGAATGGGGTCTTAGTGTTGCACTTGGCAACAAACAAGAGGCCTCTAGCTTTTATGGACAATTAAGATGTCTGTACATTAAAAAAACACTGATAAACAACCGTGTTCACCTTAAGGAGAAAGCACTAGATAGCAAAACACCTGACTACAAACTTAATAATAAAGGGATGTTTCAGAAAATTGAAAATTATGTTGTACTCCATTTGATTTTTTTCTTCTTTTATCGTTCTTAAGATTTATTATCACTATATTTGGAATCTGCCGGCGAAATTTTCCACTTAGATAAGAAGAAATTACGTGATGATTCTGTTATTCTTCCTGAACACAATGGTATGTGCTTTCTTGAGCTCTGCGGTGTTGAAGATATATTTTAAAATTTTCAAAACATGCTTCCTTCCACTTGAACTGGTTGCCTCTTTGTGTGCACCATGTAATCATCTTTCATTACAGACTTCTTGAAATAGATCAATTTCAAGCGTCTAACACAGTACAACAAAAAGTTTGTTGAGGTAATACTGACAGAAGATATACCTTCAAGCTATTCTCTTTGTTCATTACAAATACAGTGGGGTTCCTTTTATTATGGTAAATTATAATGGTTTCACATTCAAACGCAACAATTTAAACCTGTTCAACTTTATTTCTGAAATCATATGAATGTACAAATAACTGACCAGCAGTTTTTGATGTGTTGATAACTTGGAAATATAACCAAACCTAACAATTCCATGTTAATCGACTTTCCACCTGTGGTCTTTACCCCTTAATTTTTTATGTATTTTCGAGTTTAAGTTTTAAACCTAATCATTATACCACCATGCATCGTTTACTTTACTTATTCTGCTGCCTCTAATATGTAAGAGGTTTGATGTAGTGAAGGCGTGAAGCCTACTCCTCCCAGTTGGCAGATTAAATGTCAATCCATACCGTGCCCTAAAGCACACCCAGGAGAGCCAATGTGCCTTGCTATCTGAGCCAGCAGATAGCAGTTTCTATACAGGACCATGCACAGAGAAACCCATGTGGACTGTTCTGACTAAACAATGGTGATAAAATTACAATATATCGAAAATCTGTTTGCTTCCAAGATATCATTATGGCTATGATAATGAGGAATTCAATAAAAGCTTATAAAATTGGTTTCTGAATTTAATCAGTGAAAGACAATACCCATCTCAGGAAATAAAAATTCACAAGGAAACTGTGATTCACTCCAGTTGTGGTTGATACAGCATATTTATGAATGGCTTCTTTATCTGTTTGAGAGCAGAAGGCGCTCTTGATCCAAGACAAACATCCAGCTTAACACCAGCATCTTTTGATGGCAAATAAAAGTAACTGTTGGAAAGTAATTGTAAAAAAATTAAGAGTATTTGGTTCTGGTTGCTAATTCACCTATAGCTAGCAATCAGTGAGTAACAACAACTACTCACATCAGTCTGAAGAAGGCCTCGGACTGAGTTGAATAAAAGCTAACAGTGAGAAAAAAATATTTTTGCTGATGAAAGTAATTGTCTATCGTAGAAACCCCTTTTGTCTTTTTGTAAGTCCCAGTTTTTCTTCTTCTGTAAGCTTTTGTAAAAGAGCAACATTGATGGCCTGTCCGACTTTTTTACCAGACTGAAAGGGAAAAAAAAAGTAAATGTTTTACCAACACAGAAAAAGTTGCAAACCAAAGTGTGTAATCTAATGCACATAAATTAAAAATTCACTTTTAAAATCTAATAATGTCTTCCAGTGTTACAGTGGTAATATGGCTACTGATGATAATAATAATAATAATAATAATAATAATAATAATAATAATAATAATAACAACAGCAATAATTACTCTCAATAATAATAACAATTTAAAACCAATCTTAACTTCATAGCTTATTTGTTACTCTTGTATTGCTTAAATAAGGTACAAAAAGCATACATTGTGCATAAGATCTAAATAGCTAGAAACGAGTGAACACTTAATTTCTTAATGCTTCTGGATAGGCAATACGGATAGAACATAAAGGGAAAATTTCTCAAAAAAAATTTACATATATACATGTTCATTTTTCTTTTTCAATCATATCAATTATGGCTGATATTTTATTTATTTTATTTTATTTATTTATATTTATTTTCTAATTAAATTACTTAACATTTACCATTAATGCCACATAAAGGTCTAATGCACTGTATGTCTCTAGTACAAGGAGAGGGATAGAAAGTCTTTAGCCCTACCTCCATCATTTCATACACACTGTCAGGGTCCAGACTTCCAGAGCCTTCCTTCTTCATGGCGGTTAGGGTTCCTTCTGTTGTTATACCTAACATCAACCTGGAGAGAGGATAGAGATCTGTAAAGACCAGGAGGGGGAACTGGGGGGCAAATACTGTTCTTGAACAAGCTTTGGGTTCAGGCCAAAAACAAATAACAGAAATGACCTAAGTTTGCAAAATGTAAGAGGATTTTTATAGTTATAGAAAACTTATAAATAAGCTTGGCTGTGCCACAAGTAAAAACAAAACAAAACAACTTTGAATTCTCTAAGCTCCCCTTTATACATAGAAAAGATGGAAAATCCTCTCACTTAAGGCAAAAAAATTATACACCTGGTCCTTCCTACCTGGCCAAGCAGCAAGCTTCCTCCTCTAGCGTCGCATCCACCACATGGTTGTGCCCAATCTAGAAGTGGAAAAGCTCAACGCTACAGTAACATGAATGTAATGTTAACACACTTGTAATGTTTGTTGTGCCCAATCTAGAAGTGGAAAAGCTCAACGCTACAGTAACATGAATGTAATGTTAACACACTTGTAATGTTTGTTGTGCCCAATCTAGAAGTGGAAAAGCTCAATGCTACAGTTAGATGAATGCATAGTGTTAACACACTTGTAAATTAAAGTAGTGGACCACCTTGCGAGTTGAAAATAAAGTGATTAAGTGTCTCACGTGTTGTTGGTTTAGAATCAAGGAGAACAGTTGGTATAGTAACCAATTAGTAGGAACTACAGAGTGGTGTTAGTTATGTGTGTTAGGAGGCAAAGTGGCTCCTTTGCAAAATACTTTTAGCTTTAACAATGGTCTTACTAATTTAAAACTTAAAGAACAACATTTTATGTGTACTCTGACCCTAGAAAAATTGGTAGTAGTCCAGATTAAAGAAATATTGCCCTGGTTTAATTTATAACAAGAAAGACATTTTTTCATAACTATAACTATTTAATTAAAGTGGATTGTTTTGGATATATCTTGAATTGAAGTCAACCAAGCTTTGTGTCTCAGAGTTAGAAAAAGGGTTTGGGCATAGGTTCTTCTCTGACAATGATTGATCCACTGTTGTAGAATATGAAGTGTATAGTATACAGATGAAAATGGCACCAAATTCAGTGGCTCCCTATGAAAATGCACATTAAATGAGTCATGATATCAAAGCATTGCCACTCAGCCTGACCAAATGCCACCATGGTGTCTCAAATAGTATTTCTTTGGTTACATTTAATTATTTCTTAAAAATGATATTTGCTAAGACATTTCCTGCTAACTTTTTGTGCTTTATGGACTAATATCTGAACAAAACTTGAAAAAGACATCTTTAAAACAAAGCGTTCTGATTAGTGTTACAAGTCACAGGTTTTGAGGAATGCAGCATTCATGTTTGACAATCACAATGTTTTGCATATTTATAATAACTGGTTATAAAACTCTAATGAAAGATACATACTGCAATATGCTACTAGTACGTTTATGAAAAATATCAAAATAAATGTTATGCCATTACCTTGCTGACTGTGACCAAACATGGTGTGTGTGAAATATCCAACCTCTTACAGTCAAACGGATCATCAGACAACTCGAGATTCATCTCCCCGCCTTCCTCTTCACTGACAGTCACCACTGGGAGTCTGTCCGCAGATACATGAGAAAACAAAATTGATTAACGAAATCCTGGAGGTTGCAAATATTATTACAACTTTCCTGGGCACTGGCATCATCCGATTGATATCAGATTAATATTTTATATATATACAAATATATGGTACCAATCCATCGAGATGAAACTCTCTGCTAAATAGTGTATTGGTTATTCTACCATACAAAGCTACTGTAACTCAGCCTCCAAGTATATTACATTAGGCACACCTACATGCATCCCATTCATTTCTCTCCTATACAATAATTCAATATAGCCATGAAAATGTACACAACTAGCACGAAGTTTAGCACTCTCATTTTGCAGTAACTTCTGATGTGTAATATATGTTAGCACATACAGAATGTATCAGAAAGAGTTACCCTTATTATGAATGCTATTAGGAGAAACCTTATGCTAGCCCACAGCCAGACTATCTCAGAACAAAATTACTCTAAAAGATTTCAATGACACCCAACTTACCAGTATAAGAAATCATGGTATTTAAAGATATTCTCTTTTTTATTTGTAAGTAAATTTTATTCATTTATTTACTGACTTACTACTTGGGTTGTTTTAAACACATATCTTCACTCAATGTAAAAAATCAATAAATAAACCTATGAGTGTCATATTATGTCCCAAGTCACTTACTTTGCATTATGTAAAGCAGCCTTCACAGCAAAAGATGCCACATCAAATACGTTACCCCCACATTCTAACAGCTGGAACATAACACATATGACAACTTCTTAACATATACTTTATATGTATACAACTTTAAAAGTATTGCTTGGAAAAATTGTAGTTTTTAACAAATAAATCCAATCACAAGATAAATCAACAGACAATTACTTGATCTTTTCAATCATGAGAAAAATTATAAATCTTTCAAATGCAAAATTTCAAAATCATTAAAAACATTTCTACATAGTACTTTTGGTGCTCTTACTGTATAGAATAGAACAATAAGGCACCCTTTTTTTACTTTGTTGCTAACACTCAATAGGAATATTTAAAATTTCAAGAATTGATGACTTAAATAATATAACTGTAACAGGTGGTGATGGAAAACTTAGTGTCAAAGTGTAACTAGGTTTCAGGGTATGGATCTTTTGCAAACAAACACCCCCACCCCCAGTACCCCCACCCCTGAGTCCACTCACCAATACGTCTATATACAAAGCCTACACAGATTTCTCAGATCACCACCCCCCCTCTTTCACCTCACCCCCCCTCCCACCCCAGTACCCCACCCCCACCTTCACCCCTGAGTCCACTCACCAAGACATCTATATACAAAGCCCAGCACTGTTGTCCAGGAATCACACACAGACTTCTTAGGTCCAGGCAGCGAGGGTTGTCATAGGCTCTACTTAGCATGTTACCTATCTCAGTGGCCAGGTCCTCTCCCCCTCTGCCCTCAAACTCTGGCGTGGCATTGGCAGAGCTGGAATGTGCCATGGATTAAGTTTAACTTAATATACAGGAGTAAACAGGTGGGGGGATGGTTGGGGGGGATTGGTACTAGTAGTTACTAGGCGTTGGTAATTACTAGCTATAGGGTTTTTTAAAGTGTACAGGTGGTAGGAAAATGGGGTAGGATGAAAAAATGAATGGAGAAATAGTTGGATGGTTATAGTGCTACTGATACTAACATTATGAAGGGCAGTAAGCTGGTATTTTAAAAAAGGATACCTGGATAATAAAACGGATAGATGGACATTTGGTTAGGTGGATGAAGGAATGACTGCATGGACCGACAGACTACCAAACAGACAGACAGAGAGACAAAGCCATCTTATATATCTAAAACATTTGATCTGATGGAAGAGGAGACACATAAAACATACTCAATGTTTAAAAAATCTAATAAAGCATCAGCAAAAAAATTTACACCTACCAATCTACAAAGAATTCTAGTCGTCCCTCATCCAGTCTGCCAGGTGCTGGAGGGCTGAGCTCTGCCTTGATGCCAACAAGAACATCAGTATTGGCCTAAAATGATATAGCTGAATGCAAAAGAGGCATACCAGAAATGCTTAACGCACAGAGGCACTGTTTTGCAAACAAAAATTCAAAGTTTCATTTTTTTCACTTCAATTATATACTTTTATACTATTTTCGATCCATTTATTTTTTTTCATTTGTTTGAACCTTAATTTATTTTTGTTGTGTTACAAATTTAGATAACTGTGTGCACTATTTTAAAGACAATATACCAGTCTTATTCTGGCTGATCCATTAGAATTTGACACAACATCAGTCTCCAGTTCCATGTGTCTGTAATCTTCACTGCACCTCCCATCTGCACGCACATTATCCTGGAAGTACAATGTAATTATAAGGGGAAATAATGTGGCTGAAAAAAAAACAGATCTTTTCATTTTCCTTCATATATGTACATCATGTATGTGCATAAGTACGTACACGTATACATATTTACGTACGTATATTGTGTGTGTGTGTGTGTGTGTGTGTATATATATATATATATATATATATATATATATATATATATATATATATATATATATATATGTGGCAATGTCATATGATGGTGTCCACTTTTCTCCTAAAATTTCTGGCTTTTACTTCCCCCTAACCCCCAAAAGTAATAACGAAAACATCAGCAATTTCTTCTTAAACGTTTTTCTATAAATATACACATGAGGAGAAGTAAAAAATAAATAAATAAAGGGATCATGGCTGTGTTTTTGCCAGGCCCATCATAAGTAGCCCAGGATACAGGGTAGCACCGGCAAAATACCTGTCACTTGGTGACATATTATGACTTTTATATAAGTAAACTGGTGTGTTTAAATGTGAGCTGAATGGTCAGTCTGTCAATTAATACGAACAAAACCTGCAAACAATTACCTGAACGCCGTGAATAATAAAAGTACGCTCTGCCTCACTCAACAAAACCTCGGCCATGCTGCAGCCGGTTGTGAAATACGTCACGTACACAAAAACTGATACGTCACAAATATTGGGTTAAAAAATATGGCAGCTCACTGTTGACCAATGTCCGGCGGGATTATTCAGAGAATTTACTGCCAACGCAGAGTACTTTAGAAAATGTAAGTCTTGGTGAATTGA